GCGCAGGCGCTGTATGCGTTCTGCGCATGCGTGGAAGTGCAGAATTCGTAAAAACTGGGTAAGGAGCGGGCGCGGGTGTGCGGGCGCGCGCGGGCGCAGGGGGGGGCTTCGCCGTTCCCGGAAGTTACTTACTTCCGGGTTCGGCGACCAACCGGATCGCAGGGACCGGTGCGAACCGGTCGAAACCCACCCCTGTTCTATACCTTGACTGAAGTCATTTGCTTCAATAAATCAATGAACAAGCATAATGTTGTTAACTCATTCGTTTAATTTGATTTCCTTTATCTGTGTGAACAACAGGTCACATTTATGTCATATTTATGCACAGATATTTAAAATTCAAAAAAGTTCACAAACTTTTAAGCACCACTGTAATCACATACCAATTCCTTTCTGATGAATAAGCACCCAATAAAACCTGCCCATATATTCTTCTCCACCTCTGTCCCATCAGCTCTAAAAATAATTCTGGGTCTGATCAAAATTTTCATTTATTTTGGATACTTTTGAATTAGGATTTGAAGAAATCCTTTTAAATCTAAAACACTTTGAAAGACTGCCTGAAATAAAGTGGTATTTTCTGAAGCAATTAAAATATAATAGTGCTCTTCAAAGAATATAATGTCTTGATATTTTCCTCTGAGATTGCAGGAAAGAGAGATAACAAAGTACAATTTTTTTATTAGCAATCTATTGTCTAATGTTTCAATGATTAAAAATAAATCACAATGCTTTAGTGAGAGACATTGAGATTTGGCATGGGGAGTTAAGTGTAAATTGAGCAGAAAGCAATGAAATTACTATAAACTAATATAGTCAATATAACATATAGTTTATAATTATAAATATTATATATGTGTGTGGGTATGTATGTATGCATATGTATAAAATATTTTATATATAAAATATATAATATTCAGACAGGCAGAAAGACAGACAGACAGATATAATTATTCACTATAATTCTTTACTTCTGCACATTACTTTGTGAAATTTTGCAGGTTTTTTTTTAGGAACCTCTTAATTATTCGTGCCATGTCATATAAACTATCTCAAAATACACAGGATAAAATGAAACTTTCCCTTCCTCAGCTGCATCATTATGTTGTATTTACCTGTGTAACTTGTTTGTTTGTCTTTCAAATACTTTCATTATTTCTATCATGCGATTGTTCATCATCTCAATTGTCTCTAAACAATTATAAAAATAGTTATTAGGTTAATATCTAACATTTTGATCTAGAAATAGAAATCAAACAATTGCACAAGATTGGGCAAAAATGTCACTCCTACTACTACTATCATCCTAACATTATTACTAATGCCATTATTACTATGCATTACTACTATTGCCAAGTTACATAACACAAGCTATTGCCAAGTCAATTAAGAAAGGGTCACAACTGTCATAGTTAGTTAATTAGGACCAAAATTCCAATTGGTAAGCATTTAGTCATAAAACAGAATGTCATGTGATGATATGACATTTAGCAATGGCAATCCATAAGCAAGTATAATGGGATTTAAACATGCACTTCCCTGCAACTTCCTGCCAACTTCCAATGATCAATGGGGAAGTCAGCAAGAAGCAGCAAGTTGCAGGCAGCTCTCAAGGTCAGTAGGCAGATAAATGGTTGCTGCCAAGTGTGAGAGGAAGAAAGGAGCTGAGAGAGTGGCTATGGAGCCATGTTCCAAGCCCATGCAGCTGAGGAAGACTTATCTGCTTGTGAGAATACAGCAAGGAAAGTCACAAATCATGATCAGGACATTGCAACTATTGTAAGCATTGGGCCTGTTGGAAAAAGCCCAGATCACAATCACACAATCATGGGAGTCCTGGGATGGTCAGAACTTCAAGGAGCAGTTCTAATGACCCTTGGTTCAACATCATGATAGCTTCAAAAGTTTGCTGAATGAGTAGTGGTTCATTACAAGTGCTACTTGTAATTAAAAAGTATACCTCATATAAATATATACATATATATTCCACAGTGAAGTATTTATTAACAGTTCATTAATAGGATCTCTCTTATCATCATCATATGCATCCACATCAGGGATGGGTTCTAGCAGCCGCTACTGCCAGTTCACTCAGTCGCACAGCTCGATGCACACTGTATGCGCATGCACAGTACTTTAAAAATGCTTATGTGCATGTGCAGAAACAAAAAACAAGATGGCGCCGCCAGGAGAACCAGTTCAGGGGTGTGACAGGCCTGGGTCGCTGCCGGTTCCACCCAGGCCTCCATACCACTACCGGTTCAGCTGAATTGTTCCAAACCAGAAGGAACCCACCACTGATCCTCATGCACTTCGTAGGCTGTGCACCCACACAGCTTATAAAGTGCATAAGAAATAACCAGACTCCAGCCTTTTTCCAATAGCCAGACTCCAGCTCTTTATCATCTAATTACTTCTCTTAAATCATTTCAAGTTTGTGGCTGACATGGAAGAATACTAAATTTATGACTTAGATCACTCCTGAGTTAAGTACCTTCTCTCTGCATCTGACTGACTAATTGATGAACTAAAAACCTTTTCTGTCTAAACTACTGGCCATTTATTTAATTTGTAATTTGCCAAAAGAAAAAAGAAAAGAAGCTAAAGAAAACATAATACTCTCTTCTTAATTGAGGGAGAATAGCCTACTGATTTGGCAATAGAACAATTAATAGTTTTATCTTAGTCTAGTCTTGACTGAAATGAAAAATAAAACTAAATTGAACTTTTCACTACTTTAAAAGCTTTTTCACCTAGTATCTAAATATTTATAACATGAATTTTGAGGATTTGAATCAGGGGTGAAATCAACTTTCCTTCGCTATCAGTTGACAAATGTGAGCACATGCACCACCTCCGCGCATGCACAGAGCATAAAAACGGGATGTGATGATATCTGGGTGGGTGGGTGGCGGCCTCTGGGCGCCACTGCTACCAGTTTGCCTGAACCGGATAGAACCAGCTGAATTGCACCACTGATTTGAATCAAATACTTATTACCTTAAGATCAAAAACTGAAATTTTGTATCATATGTGTTTATATTCCATTCAGCATAAAACTTAGTCTCAGTGTTGAAGATTCTACAGGCAGTACTACATTCTGCATTTCTCAGGACAATTTGCAGTTCTTAAACGGAAAGTAGAGAAAAATAATGATTTTTCTACCTCCACAGATAATGCAGTAAGCCCTGTCATTAAACAAAAAGGGATCAAATCTTATCATCTCTTTCCAGCATGGATAAAGGCATCAAAAGCTTTATGAGCTGGATGCTATTAATCAATTAACTGTCATAGGATCACATCAATTCTAATAATAGTTTCTAATATCTTTTTTTCAAGAAATTAATATTCTTCTACAAAAAGGATCCCTTATTTACCATAGTAGGTTGGTTGGTCAAGCATAAAAATTCAAAATCTCTTAAAGTCGTAGTAAAATTTTAATAATCTTGACTACCAGATACTAAACATTTCTGAAGTGAATGTTCCAGGAAGGATGTTATTTTTTAATATTGATTATCTTTTTACATAAATTGATTGCATTACTAAGGGTTATTCTGCTATTTTACATAAATATTTCAATATCTTTTTTTTACTTTTATTGTACCTGAAAATCTTAAATCCCTTTTTACTTTGGAAAAGAAATAATCTAACTAAAATGAATTATATAGATATGAAAAATATAAGGTGAGTGGGATTGCAGAAGAGTACATAACTGAGTGCACTCTTCCAATGTGAATGATTTTTTTTTTCTTTTTGAGATGATGTGGATTTTATAAGTAGACCAACTGTTACTTGGTGATACAAATTTTATTTCTTATGTCTTTGCTTTTTGGACCTGATATCTACGTAGCATGAAGATGCCAGTCACAGATGTTGGTAAAATGTTAGGAAATCTGCTGTCTAGGCAACAGTCACTAAACCATGAAGGTTAACACTGTCCGAGATACTAGTCTGAAAGTTATATCAATATAAATCTGAAAAATACCTGTAGCTGCCTCTGGTGCAGAGATGGGTCCTTGCCAGTTCTAACTTCTTCTATAGAAGAGGTTCCACAAATCTACAGTGCCATTTAGAACCGGTTCCAGCTCTCTCCCCCTGCCCGTCTGCACCATGCTTGCCCTGCCCGCGGCTCACTGATGGGCTGGCTCACCAATCACCCCGCCCGTCTCTAAGAGTTCTATCTAAACCTTAAAGTCTTAAAGCTGTCAAGTTTGAACATCCCTGGTTTTTTTTTCTAAAGAGTTAAGGGTGCAAGGGTCTTGTAACTTGACAGCTTTAAGACTTGCACACTTCAATGCCAGAGTTTGTGAGCCAACATTTTGGTTGCTAAGCAAGAGCGTTAAGTAAATTTCACCACATTTTACAAGTTGACCACGCCCACCCAGTCACATGACTGCCAAGCCACTCCCACTTGGTCACATGGCCGGTAAGCCACACCCACAAAGCAAGCCACACCTACAGAAGAGGTTTGAAACCCACCACTGCTCTGGTGATAATAAGGGCTACCAAAGAGATAATAGATGTTCTCTTCTATTGAAAGTTGCCATATCTTGTTCTATTGCTTTGTCTAGAATATCTGTCTAAATCAGTGATGGCGAACCTATGACACGCGTGTCA